GTCAACAGGCCCACTTCCAGATCTGTGTAGTTGTCCTGGTGCAAAGATATATCGGTAGTGTGTGTGCAGACTACACTCTGTTTTAGTGAACTTTAAAGCACTCAGATATTTTTCATAAATGGAATGATATTGGATATACTATAAAACGCCAAACTAGTAAGAGAGTTTCTTGATTTTCTTTTATTTTCTTTGTTTAAATTATACACAAGGTTTTTTAAAGTGGCTGGGGGAGGGGGGTGTTTATTAGGGTAGGGGCGTTAAATTGGGATTTTACGGTATTACAATTATATAAACCAAATATTCACATTTATTTGAATAATTAACAATACTGAATAATATAAACACTATATATATATATATAGAAAATTCATGCAAAATAATATAATAAATATTTTTTCTTATTCTTAAATTCACATTTAAAAGGGTTTTGTAAGTGAAATAAAAGAGCTGTTTTTTTTTCTATATCCGAGCATGTGTTGTCCCCCTATGACAGAAAATATATTGGACAGTCACATGGTATTAATCTGGAACAATGATTGGATGTAAGCAGGGGTTTATTTAAGCGGACGCCCGCTTGCCCGCGTCGGGTAGAAATCGCTGCGGGCAAGTGAAATTTGAAAGCAAATTGCCCGGCGGGCAAGTGAATTTTCGTTATGCCTTCTATTAGCTTTGATATCCTTTGCCGATAATACTTTTCTTTCCGTTCATATTACAGTCAAACAAGTGTATTTATAACTGTTTCTGATTGTTGTTGGACTCCTATCAACCCATCAAATTACGTAAAAAAACTTTTTTCTATTTTGCTTTCCTTTCAAATGGCGGGCGGCGCCGAAAGTTTTCTCATTTTTAAAAGAAAAAAATCTACAGCAATTAAAGAAAAAGCCACGGCAAAGAAAACATCTGATTTTCTGAATAAAAAGCATAAAATCACAAAAATTCAAGATGAGTTATGTCAATAAAGACTGACACAACTGCAAGGTTCAAGAAAGAACAGAAAAATCGGGCCGTAAAAATCTACTCCTTTGAATCCTGTACGCTATTGTTTTCTTCATACAGTCAAAATTTAACTAACTGGCGTCAACTCATTTGCAATAGGCCTATAGATTTTTTTTTAAAATTCATCACCAGTAATCTTTTTTACACAAATCTTGACGAAAAATCATAATAGTCTTGAACTGTTGTTAATTTATTTTCCTTTCTCCCCTACGGCAATGTTTAGAAATATTCTTACCTATAAATAAACAGAATAAAATAATCCATAAAATGTTTAAAATCCTTTTTGGTAAATCACAGCATATTGTGTAACTGAGGTCATTCTAGGTCATGCCTAATTTACGACCAAAACAGAAAAAAACCTCCTTAGGTGAAACATACAGCAAATGACGTATATTTCGTCTGACAGTTCTTTGAACCAGTCAGTGCTCTGAACTGTATGATTACTGCATGGGGTGAGTCCCTTTGATGTGACATAGGTTAAAACTTCAAATAAATTTTAATACAAACAGGGAGGATAGGAATCAATTTAAATTGAGTATAACACATCCTGTCATGGACTTGGAGCAACTTGTTGTTTTTAAAAATGAAATAAATTTGAAAGGTACATTACTAGTTTCGGTAATGCAAACAAAGCAAACATATTTTTGATATTTTACATTGTTTGAAATCAACAATAAACATTTAAAAACCTAGCACAATTTTAACAATCAATGTACTGTTTCCTTTTTAATGTTGTTTTTAGGGAATAAATATTTTTAAGGTGATAGCATCTGAATGTTAATATATTTTAAAAGTCATCTGGAATAGGGCCTAATATTTCCTGTAATTTTTATAAGCCTTAACAGATCATGTCGGACATGACTATTGTTAATCTTCACTTTCATTTTACTATTTTGATGTGAGGAATCCCTGACATTTATGAGTTTTTAAATCTCAGGGATTTCTATTGGATCCCTGGCAAAGAAAGTTGTGTCGACCCCTAGACTATTGTGAATGAGCAAACAAACATATACAGTAGGGAATTTAGGACTATTTTACTATCTGAGGCATAAGTTGATAGGATCTGCAATAAATCTTATTTTTACCCATAATTTTTGCTTTGATTATTAACAAACTTCACATTTAAGATCGGGCAACCTGTTTTTCCTGGGGGCAAGTAGATTTTCAAAGTTACTTGCCCTTCGGGCAAGTGAAAGTCAAAACCTTAAGTAAACCCCTGTGTAAGTAATAAGTACAAAATAATAATACAATTACTGGTAGTCCACATTCACTCAAATATAAAACAAAATTTACAGTGATAATTAGGGGTGTATAGGTTAGCAAAAATGTTAACCATTTAAATGGGAGCCAAGTAACAGTGTTAAACCTTTGACCCACCATACATGTACTTAAAGAACTTTAAGATTTTTAACAATAACTTTGTTTCTTTATGACAAGATATGACATATAGTACGTATTTTGTTGTACATGTACTTCACAATATTAAACAACATCATATTAAAGAGTAATTATTTTCTACTACGGCACACAAAAAAACAAGAAAAAACACAGGTCTATACCCCCCCCCCCATTAAGTCAGATCTTGTCATAGTTAAACAAAGGTAATATATAAAATAATTCTTATACTTCTTTGGCTAATGGTCTAGTACTAACCTCAATTACAGGTTATTAAATTTTTTAAGTGGTTTTGTTGGCTAAAATCTGACTGAACCCATTTAAATGCTACACCCCTAGAGATAATCTATAACATTTCAAAATACAAACATTGTTATATACCTAATGATAATCTACATTCACTCAATAATTAATATTAAAGTAAAGTCTAATTTATTCACAATATCATGTCAAGTATTACAATGTTATCATAATAAACCTATAATAATATAGCAGCATTGCGCCTAAAACGAAAAATCTAAAAAATATTTAATACTTTGATCAAAACATATGAAACATAAAACAAATACATGTACATTCTTTACATGTATACAAGAACGTAAAGTTCAAATATGTGAAATACAAAAAAACAAAACAAAAAAAAAACAACTAAAATCAAAGAAACTGTTAAATATTCAATTTTACAAGGCTATTTTATATCAACTTGTGAAGTATACAAATTCATAAATTTAACTGGATGGGACATAGTCTTTTTTCAAAGTATATTATAGAAGTCAGTAGCTTTATCATAACAGCTCTGATGATGAATAGCATGATTTTTTTTATTGTAGAACAACCTGTTTAACATTGAGCAACATATGTTTAACATTTCTTGCTTTAAACTTATGCCTAAAATGAAAAAAAATGGTTTTATAAGTTTGTCAGTTTTTTGAAGCTGAATTTAAAAAGCTACTTTACCAAATCAGGCATCTCTAATTTCCATGCATGATCAACAACAATGCCCAGTGTATATACATACATATGTACATGTATGAATTATAATGCAACGTTTTGTGAAGAAATATGATTTTTCTGTATGACAAACCTATATAAATTGAGATCAAAATATTCTTGCTGCCTTTTTTTTGCAATTCTGTATAAATTTCTTTGAGCTGTGCTGAAATAGGTGTCTGTATTGCAATTCAATATAGATTTTATTCAACTATACTGAATTTTGTGCCTCTTTTTGCAATTCAATATAATATATAAACTATGCTGAAATTGGCTAGTGTTTTTGCGATTCTATATAAATTTATAAAACTTTGATGAAATTGGTGCCTGAATTGCAAATCTATATAAATCTATTAAACTATGCTGAGATGCTGCCAGTTTGCAAGTCTATATCAATTAATTAAACTATGCTGAAATTGGTTCCTGTATTGCAACTCTATATATAATTTTATTAATATATGCTGAATTTGCTGCCCTTTTCAATTCTATATTTAATGAATTATGTTTTAATGTATGTTGAATTTGCTGCCTGTTTTCATTTCTTTTACAAAGAATTATGTATAAATGTATTAATTTATGTTGAATTTGCTGCCTTTTTTCAATTCTATATGAAGGAATTCTGTATGAATGTTTTTATTTATGCTGAAGTTGTTGCCCTCAGGAAAGATGAAGTGTAACTTAAAATGTGAACAAGAAGCTCTAGCTATCAACTATGTTGTAACTTGGCATTTGGAATTGTTGAAAAAACACATAAAACAAGAGCCGGTTGAACCGGGTGATGCTCCCCGAATAGGTTTTGGACACAGGAAGGTATACCTCTTATTGTGTCAGAGTTATGTCACAGACAAAGTTCAAAGTGTAAAAACAACCCAAATATTGTGCATGACACATTGTCTCATTATGGTGATCATTTTTGTGAAATAGTTGTAAAATCTGACTTCAAATAACAAAGTTATGCGCCAGACATGATTTTGCTTCAAGGTAGCGACCCAAATGTTGCATGCGACACGTCGATTCAATATGGTGATCATATCTGTGAAATAGTTGTTAAATCCGACTTCCAAAAACGAAGTTATGGGCCGGACACGATTTTGCTGCAAGGTCATGCCGTGACCTTGACCTTCAAGGTAGCGACCCAAATGTTGGGCGTGACACAATGTCTCATTGTGGTGATCATTTCTGTGAAATAGTTGTAAAATCCGACTTCAAATAATGAAGTTATGTGCCGGACACAATTTTGCTGCAAGGTCATGCTGTGAGGTAGCAACCCAAATGTTGCGCGCGACACATCGTCTCAACATGGTGATCATTTCTGTGAAAAAGTTTTAAAATCCGACTTCAAATAACAAAGTAATGGGCCGGACACGATTTTGCTGCAAGGTCATGCTGTGACCTTGACCTTCAAGGTAGCAACCCAAATGTTGCGCGCGACACGTCGAGTCAACATGGTGATCATTTCTGTGAAATATTTTTAAAATCCGACTTCAAATAAAAAAGTTATGGACCGGACACGATTTTGCTGCAAGGTCATGCTGTGACCTTGACCTTCAAGGTAGGGACCCAAATGTTGCCCGCGACACGTCGTCTCAATATCATGATCATTTCTGTGAAAAAGTTTTAAAATCCGACTTCAAATAACAAAGTAATGGGCCGGACACGATTTTGCTGCAAGGTCATACTGTGACCTTGACCTTTAAGGTAGCGACCCAAATGTTGCGTGCGACACGTCGTCTCAATATGGTGATCATTTCTGTGAAATATTTTTAAAATTCGACTTCAGATAATGAAGTTATGGACCGGATACGATTTTGCTGCAAGGTCATGCTGTGACCTTGACTTTCAAGGTAGCAACCCAAATGTTGCGCGCGACACATCGTCTCAATATGGTGATCATTTCTGTGAAATATTTTTAAAATCCGACTTCAAATAACAAAGTTATGGGCCGGACACAAATTCGGGACGTATGTACGTACACGTACGTACGGACGGACAACCCGACGACTATATGCTCCCCCGAAATTTTTCGGGGAGCATAACAAGAAAAACATCTAAAAGGAAAACAACTACTAAATTTAGAAATATAAAGTATCTAAATACATGTATATTGGCTTTTAGTACATAAATGTCAAATAAACAAAAAATACAACAATCACTTTTACTTAAAGATATACTATGGTCAACTTTAGGTAAAATATTTCTATTGCAGAAATTAATTGAAATCTTGAAAATTCATCTGAATATGTGTAATTTGAAAAAGAGACTGCACCAATTATATTTGGAAGTTGGATTCTCTATTTCTGGTCTAGCTAATTTGGTACTTTCTAAAAAAACTGCCCTTTTTTAAATGACACTATGTATTCATAATTATGGTCTTTACCAGTAGTAAGTAGAGTTTTAAATGTAACATATCTATCTTCTATGTGTGTTTGCAAAATATGTTTCTATTACATTCAAAAACAGACAATGTACTAGATTTTTAAATTATCAACTTTGAACATAATGCATCTTCTACTCAAGGAATCTAAAATTTCATATATTTGAGAACTAAATTGTTTGATTGATTTAGTTCTGCACATTATTCCAGTAACAAAATAATCTCTCATGAAATTATTGTAGGAGTTGGGGCTTTATGGCAAATTGTCACAATAAAGTTATACATCTCCATCCACATGAAACAAAATGTTTTTATCTTTATATGCCTGCACCTTGAGGACTTGCGTTGCTGCTTAATGCTGAAATTGTAAAATAAAAAGATCTTAATGTCAGATTGACTACAACAAATAAAACAAGAAGCAGTCAATGGAGTTATTATTCTTGTACGCTGCACTCCTCCTTTATAACATCTATCCACCTTAAAAACAAGAGCCCGGTTTGAGCCGGGTGATGCTCCCCAAATAGGTTTTGGACACAGGAATGTACACCTCTTGTAGTTTCAGAGTTATGTCCATGGAAAAAGTTCAAAGTGCAATAATTCCAAAATTAGGCAAGGCAGAGTTACTGTTCTTTGCACTGCATTTTTAATCAATGTGAACTATCAACCTACAAAGTTTCTTGTTGATATCTCTTATGGTTTTCGAGTTATGTCCCAGACAAAGTTCAAAATTTAAAAATGAACAAAGGGCAATAACTACAAAATTTGGCAAGGTGGAGTTCAAGTTCTTATGCACTGTACATCTACCCATTGAGATCTATCTACCTACAAAGTTTCATGTTGATATCTCTTGTAGTTTTAGAGTTATTTCCCAGACAAGATTTTTTTAAAAGGGGAGATAATTCAAAAATTGGGCAAAAACAGAGTTATGTTTTTTTTGTACTGCACTTTTACTCAATGATGTTTCATGTTGATATCTCTTATAATTTTAGACTAATGTCCCAGACAAAGTTCAAAAAGTAAAAATAAACAAAGGGCAATAACTTCAAAATTAGGCAAGGCAGAGTTATGATTCTTGTGCACTGCACATCTACCTGTTGAGATATATCTACCTACAAAGTTTCATGTTGATATCTTATACATGTATACTTTTACAGCTATGTCCTGGACAAGATTTTTCTAAAAGGGGAGATTATTAAAAAATGAGGCTTAACAGAGTTATAGTTCTTTTGCATTGCACTTCTACTCATTGAGATCTATCTACCTACAATGTTTCATATTGATATCTCTTATAATTTTAGAGTTATGTCCCTGACAAGATTTTTCTAAAAGGGGAGATAATTCAAGAGTTATGTTCCAAAGAAAGTTCAAAGTGTTGAAATTAACAAAGGGCAATAACACAAAAAAATTAGGCAAAAAAGAGTTATGGTTTTTATGCATTGCACATTTACCCATTGAGATCTATTTACCTACAAAGTTTCATGTTGATATCTCTTATAAATAGAGTTATGTCTCGGACAAGATTTTTCTAAAAGGGGAGATAATTCAAAAACCAGGAAAACTAGAGTTATGGTTCTTGTGCACTGCACATCTACCCATTGAGATCTATTCACCTACAAAGTTTCATGTTGATATCTCTTATAGTTTTAGAGTTATGTCCCAGACAATATTTTTATATAAGGGGAGATAATTCAATAACCTGGCAAAATAGAGTTATGGTTCTTTGATGACACTGCACTCCCCCTCATTGCCCTCTACCACTGTTTGAAGTTTAAAAAAATTATCTCCAAGGGTTTTCAAGTTATGCTCCGGACGGACACGACATATTGTCTTATATTTGATTGTATGTAAATTTAAAGACTTAAAAAGGGGCATAACTTTGTTAAAATACAATACAGAGTTATGAAACTTGACCAGCATATCTTAATTGTGACACTTCATATATATTTTAAGTTTTAAGCAAATACCTTTTCTAGATTCATAAATATTCAAATAAATGTTAAAATTTAAGTCAATTTTTGACCTTCAAGTGTGACCTTGACCTTAAGCCGGCAAAAGGGTGACATGGGTTCTGCACATTTGAGCCAAGATTGAAGAAAATCTTTCAATTAGTGTAGGACTTACACAGCGGACACCACATACTGTGTAATATTTGATTGTTTGATATTTGACCTTCAATTGTGACCTTGACCTTGAGCTGACACATGGGCAGCATGGGTTCTGCACATGCCCTTGTTGAAGTGAACATTTAAGCCAAGTTTGAAGAAAATCCTTCAATTAGTGTAGGACTTACAGAGCGGACACGACATACTGTCTAATATTTGATTGTGTTTGATATTTGACCTTCAATTGTGACCTTGACCTTGAGCTGACACATGGGCAGCATGGGTTCTGCACATCCCCTTGTTGAGGTGAACATTTGAGCCAAGTTTGAAGAAAATCCTTCAATTGATATAGGAGTTATAGAGCCGACACGAAAATGGAGACAGACGGACGGGCCGACCGAGGGACGGACCAACGCGACAAAGCGAATCCATTATAGCCCCCCCCCATATTTTGTGGTGGGGGTATAATTATGCTGACGAATGAAAATAAAAGATATATAGATGCGCATACTCGAAAAGTTTAGGCGTTATCCGAAATCGTTTACACCAACTGTCACAGAATAATGAAATATGTAGCTATACACTATACCTGGTTCTATTGATATATCGTGTTTGTTCTCAAGTAATTCCTTTAGTCTCATGATGTGTGACGCGTAGCTGTAAAGGAATTTACCACTGTCCTTCTCTGTAATACCACCATACAGTAGTCCCAGCACAACCACATCTCCTTGCATATCATCATCGAATATCACTGATCCACTGTCACCATCCTCGGAAAATTTCCTCACTGTAATCAACCAATCAATCAATGAAATAACAATACGAATTCAATATGATTTCTACCTATGTTTAGTTAATTTCTCCAAGGTTTGATACCAATTGGCTTATTAATGGTGGTAACAATAAAATTTTTGTCCTTATATCTGTCCTGAAGTAACAAATAAAACAAGCTTTGAAGTAATTAATTCAAGAATCTAGTAAGAAAGTGGAAGAAACTAAACAAAAGTGTTGCAAACAACACCCAGTTATGATACTCTCCCCAACATATACTGTATGTGCAGAAATATTCGTGGGCTTCGAATTTTCGCGATCTTAGCAGTGACATTCGATTCGCGAATTCATGTTCAGCGTGAACATTTCTACACCAATAATTTTTTTAATAGTCATATTTTTGCGCTTCTATAGAACAATGTATATCAGTGTGTTATATGCTTTCAATATATACAATTTTTTTAAATGTTTATTGAGTAACTGTGTTTTTCATCAGTTTAAATCGTTTGTGTTGTTTGTACTGTTTGTTTAGAAACACAAATTATGATCTGATGTCCAGACGTTAATGACGCAAACTATGAAACATTTAGCTTGAAGCAATGGTATTGTACAAACATGTATGTAAACATTCAAGAAATCCAAAATCATATCAGAATAATACACTAGCACACTGATTTACATACACAGTGTAAAACTTTGTAAAACTATGAAAATATCATGCACGTTAACCGCCATCTTTTGTTTGCCATAATCTGTCCGCTAGACAATGTCTTTGGTCATACAATAACGTATTGTTTGACTCATCTGTTTTTCTTAATTCGTAACATCAACCGTATTTTACACCATTCCAAAATCCTGTAAAAGTAATTTCCCTTCTTTTTTTAACATGAGCAGTCGACGCAAATTTATGATTTTCGGCAGTTTTCTCCGCGAATTCAAATTAGCTCGAATATTTGTATTGACCCCAAAGATGGACCTTTCCATGAAAATTTGCCTCTGCAAATTCAAATAAACATACGGTATTTATGAAGGTTAAACTCAAAATGAAATCAATACCTTGCTCTTGCTGTGTATCACGACTTCCGCCAGCTGTCACACTACCTGGTGGCACTTGTTTGTCTGGTTCAGACTCGATCAAGATATTCACATTTGTATCAAAGTTCCTCTTTGAGACCCGATTAAAATTTTTCATTATTTCTTTAGTGTTATAATCATCACACATACATACTCCACAAGTTAATCCCGTTGCGCTGCCAAATTTGAAGACCTTCCGTCTCAATATTGCTCCATCATAAAATGACCATCTTTTTTCTATTGGGCTTTCTTCCATTGTAGGTCTCCGCTGAGGGTCTCTGCATTGTTCTGGGTTTTTTTTTGATTCCCGCAAACCATAACAACAATGTCCTATTTTAGTTACAAGAATTTCTATTAGAGCAACATCTATGCTATCTTTGATATATTCTACATATATACTTTTCTTTCCCAATGTTGTATAGCCTATATCATGTTCAGGAAGGACATCAATAAGATCTTTACATTCGTCCACACAATGAGCACATGTTATACAATGTAATTTATCTTGATCTTGTTCCTCACTTTTTGACTTTATATTCACAAAACATCCGATACTGCCATAGTTATATTTTTCTTCTGATTCAGGTTCCAACTTCTCTGCTCGTAATGATAATCCCTGTTTGATATTACCAAGGCCCGTAGTGCGCACAGCAGCCTTTGGAAGTTGTATAAGCTGTGTGTCATAACCATATGTGTATCTATGTTTCAGTAGAAGGTCTTTCACGTCATTTAAACTGTCTTCACTTAGTTTTTCTGTCAAATGCAGTGTGAGATCTCCCCACATGATCCCACATCCATACACCTCTGGAATGCTGATCAGGAATGTAAATTTAGAATGAAATCTATTTTCATTGTATTTAAACAAACAAACAACATTGAAGAAGAAACATGATTAAGTAAGCTTAATACTATTTTGTCATATATAGAGCTTATCAGAGTAGAATACTTACAGACATATTGTATAAAACTAGAACTATCACTAAATGTGATTAATACCCTTGCAAGACTGCTTCCGAAATGAGGAAGTTACTAGTAACAGAATACCTTGTAAAATAACTGAAATAGAGTTATGGTTGTGACCAATTAAAGATAGTTGTGGTTCTTGTATGTTGCATTTCCTTTCAATGTGGTTGACCATTGATGAAGTTTTATTGAATTACTCCCTAAAAAGTCCAGAGAGAGTTCAAGTAATGCACTGGACAAAAAAGTAACAAAGGACAATAACTCTAATTAGTCCAAATAGAGTTATGTTTCTTGTGCACTGCACTTCATCTTACTCGCGCTTGACCATAGTATGAAGTATCATTTAATTCTAACCATTATTTTTCAAGTTATGCTCTGGCCAATTAAAAATAACAAATGGGCAAAAACTCTTAAATGAGTCAAGAAAGAAATATAGTTATGCTCTGGACAAGGAAAAGTATCAAAGGGCAATAACTTTGTAATTTGTCAAAATGGAGTTATGGTTCTTGTGCATTGCACTTCTTCTAGATGTGCTAGTGATTGTATGAATTTTATTGAATTCCAAACCCTGTATTCAAAGGGTTGGGAAA